GTGTGTAAGTGTGTATGTATGCATGCATGCATGCATGCATGTATGTATGCATACATGCAAATATGTGTGTATGTATGTATGTACGTGTGTATGTATGCATGCATGTATGTATGTATGTGTGTATGTATGTATATATGTATGTATGTGTGTGTATGTATGTATGTATGTATTCATGCCTGCATGCATGTATGCATGTATGTATGTATGCATGCATGTATTTATGTATGCAGGTATATATATATATATATATATATATGTTTGTGTGTATGTGTGTATGCGTGTATGTGTGCATGTGTGTGTATGTATGTATGTATGTATGTATGTATGCATGTACGTATGCATGTACGTATGCATGTATTACTGTATGACGGTGTGGATGTATGTATGTATGTATGTATGTGTGTGTATGTGTATGTATGTATGCATGTATGTATGTATGTAAGTGTATATCTATATGAATATCTTGGAGTTGTTCCTCCTGGGGCACCCTGAGCACATTCTGAAGGGTCTCTTGCACTCTCTGCCCAATTGTCCCGCGGCCAGTTTGGCTAGATAGTCTCAGATCATGGCAGCGGGCATCATGTCGCGCGAGTGCGTGACCTCACGGGGAATCGAGATGCAAGCAAAGGCTTCGCGGAGGGAATAGAAGGTGGCCAACGTCATGGGGGCCGCGACCGTGACCGCTACCGTGACCGACGCTACCAGCGAGACCAGCGCGACCGTGACCGTGATCGGGATTGTCAGAGGAGCCGTCGTGACGGTTCGAGTCCTTCATCGGATTCCAGGGGCGACCAGGAGGCCGGACGTCTGCAGAGGAACAGCTGCTGGATGTACAAGCACCATCCCTGGTACGCCGCGTTCGTGGCCCAGTGCAAGACGGAGTTGAGGGGCGCGAGAGTTCGCCGCCAAGGGGAGTTCATGGCGAGCGCGATGCGGGACTCGCCTGGCCGCGCTTTCCAAGATAATGGCGTCCACATTAGTGCACCTACGCAGGGGAATGGCTTAAGTGGGGATTTCCCTACCCTGCAGGGCTGAGGTGCGACTGCAGCGGCTGCCGCGGCGTCGCCATCGACCCCTGGCGCGCCTGACAATGCCGGCCTCGCGAGTATCAAATGCATGCTCGTCGAGGACCAGTTTGAATGCCTGTTCAGGGTGGGGGATGGAGAGGAATCGACGTTCAACGAGATGATAGCGAGCGCATGGGCCCATCGGAAGATTTCTCATATCGCGGAGCCCAAGAGGAAGGGCGATAGTACCGCCGAACACTAGCAGTTTTATCAGAATTTGGCCTGAGAGGCACCGGGGGCTCTTATGGACACGCATGATGATGAAGTATTCATGCAGTCTCGAGTGGCGATGGGGGGCAAGTTTGTGTGCGCGACGTATGTGATTATCTTGGTTCTTGTGCTGATAACCAGATCTATTTCCTGCACTTCAATTGGGTGATGGCCGCCAGTGTCGGAAACAGTGTCATCGCTACTATACGAGTATCGCGTGCTCAATGGCCAAGCGGCTCCACTCTTTTCCCGACATTATACCAGATAGTGGCTAGTAATGTCGTTGCAGACATCTCCGCCATGTGAATTACCGAGAGGATGAATGCGACATGCGTCAGGACCGCTCTGGAAAATTAGCCAGGGGGATTCTCTGTTTTGGGACATGCCCTTTTCGTTTCCTTTCCACGCCCCTCCATTCCCTCCCCTTCCTCCATCTCTCTCGCTCTCGCGCTCCCCCTCTGGCAAAACATCGAGCGTCAGGAACGTTTCGTTTGTGTTCTTGCTTCCGGCTTAAACTTTGGAATGTAGTGCTTGGGACGCTGCTATGACATGTGCGGGATCCCGACCTAAGGAGGTCTGTCGATGGGCTGCTGTGGACTGCCCGATCCCTCTCCCAGGATGCAACCACCTGGTCCAATCCTTACCCCTTCGCCAAGGAGTATGCACAGGAGCCCGTGCTTGCAGGATTCGCTTGGCTCTTTCGAATCCCGCCTGACCGACCATATTGCGCTGTATCTTGTCCCGACGCGGAGGGGCACGCTCTTTCTCCCGTGGGCGCGTGTGGCTCGAGGTCGAGCCACAAGGGAAATCGCTCTTCTCGCATGGGCGCTCGAAGAAGCGATGGCGGTTCCACGTCACAGATCGTGCCCTAGAGAGGCTCAGTGGTGAAAGGCAACCAGGTCGCGCTCGTGTCTGTGCCCAGGCTGACGCCTGCCCGCCAGGGGCCCGGGACTGGACCCCAAACATCGCCTTGGAGAGCACGCGCTCACACACAAACACACGCGCGCACACACACGCGCACACACAAGCACACACAGACACACACACACACAGACGCACCCACACACACAAACACACAAACACACACACACAATACACAACACACACAACACACAACACACACCATACACAACACGCACAACACACACACACATCACACACAACACACACCACACACAACACACATGACACACACCAAACACATACACACATACTGGCGTCGCGACCCCGCGAGCGGCGACGGGGCGTAGAAATTCGAATGCAAGCAACGGAGCGCGCAAACCACACGCACACACACGCGCACGCACACACACACAAACACACGCACACGCACGCGCACGCGCACATGCACGCGCACGCGCACGCGCACGCGCACACGCGCACACGCGCACGCGCACGCACACGACGCACAAGCACAGACACACAATTACAGACACAGACACAGACACACACATACAGACACAGACACACACACACACAGACACGGGCACATACACATACACAGATACAAATACATATGCATACCTATACAACCACTCTTCGGGTGAGAAGGAGGTTCGGGGGGCAGGGAGATCAAACGTCTCACTCAATCGATATCACTATCGATCTCACTATTGATCCCACTGTCAATTTCATTATTGATCTTACCATCGATCCGACGATCGATCTCGCTATTGATCTCATTATTTATCTCACTATCGATCTCACTTTCGCTCCCACTATCGATCTCGCTATCGGTCCCACTATCGATCTCATCCTCCATCCCCCCTGACGGGTCCTCTCGATCCTTTTTTATTCGGCCCAACTTGGGGCCCGCCCTGGAATACGTGTTCGCCCCCAACTACTGGCAAAACGAGCTGATGTGGGCGGTCAACGCGAACCGCCTGGCATAAACGATTCATCGCAGTAGTGCTCGGCATCGTTCCTCAACAGCAGGGCCGTGCAGGCCTGCGACCAATCCGCTCGGGTCGCTCCTGCATGGCAACAGGTTGAGACGGGCCGTGGTTGCGAGAGGCGGGCCTTCGCCCAGAGACGCAGGTTGCGCAACAGCTGCACACTTGATACAAAAAAAGCCGGCAACACCACCGTCGCGAGCGGCCAGGGTGGGCCCTCCTGGTGGTGTGATCATCCCTGTCTTGCGGCGTCCCAATCGAGACACTGTAGGAGCCCGACCATGAGACACCTTCCACAAGAAACCCAACCCTGAGACCACAGGACGTCCATCGATTTCTTGGCGCGGGGACGTCGCGCCTTACATCGCAAAAAACCCTGAAGCACAACCCAGGACACTTCCCATGTTGATGTTGCTGGCAAACTCTCAGCAACGCAACAAACAACAGGCGGCCGTGTGTTGCTAAACGGCTGGGCGGCGCGCGCGGCGGGCGGGGCCGAGACGTGCTCCGCGCGCAACGTTTCGTTGCGCGCCGAGCGGCGTCCCTGGCTCTACGCCGTCTTAAGCGCGGCCCGCTACTCACCCGCTATCCAGAAAGGAATCAAAATCTGCCGTCCTCCTCCTCCTCCTCCTTCTCCTCCTCCTGCTCCACAATTACTCAATCTGAATACTACTCTCTCCTTCCCCTGATGACGGGGTGGGAGTGTTCGCCCCCCCACTCCCGCGTACTGTTTTTTTACACACAAGATTCCCCGGAGTTGGGTTTTCGCCTGCATTTGTTTTCAAAATGCTGCTCTCGCTGGGGCGCCGGCCTCATTTTCGGGCCCCGCTCGTTCCGAATCGTGCTCCCGCTGCAACGCTGGCCTCATTTCCGTACTTCCGCTCGTTCCGAATCGTGCTCCCGCTGCAGCGCTGGCCTCATTTCCGCGCTTCCGCTCGTTCCGAATCGTGCTCCCGCTGCAACGCTGGCCTCATTTCCGTACTTCCGCTCGTTCCGAATCGTGCTCCCGCTGCAGCGCTGGCCTCATTTCCGAGCTTCCGCTCGTTCCGAATCGTGCTTCCGCTGCAGCGCTGGCGTCATTTCCCGTGCCATGCCACGGCATGCAATGTAATGCTAGGTTGCGTTCCGCTGCGCGATGCCATGCCTTCAGCTGAAGCTGTGATATGCAATGCTTAAATGCCACGTCGTGCTATGCCATGCTACGCTTTGATCTTCAACGCCATGCTATGCAATGTTTTGTTCGGGGCCGCTGTGCGATGCCAAGCTTTGCGTTGCAAAGCTTTGTGATGCAATTCTTCACTACGCCACGCCACGCCATGCTGTGACATACTACGCTTTGCGGTGCTCTTCTACGCCATGCCATGCCGTGTTCTACAATGCATCGCGTACCCTTCAGGATCATTGCCCTGCTCGACATCCGACTGTGCGAGTAGAGAGGAGATCTACGCCATGGTAAGGTATGGGAGGGAGGGGTAGGATGTCAGCTATGACGCGAGCGCACCTAGCTTGTCCCCCTCCCCCTCCCCCTCCTCCTCCTCCTCCTCCTCCTCCTCCTCCTCCTCCTCCTCCTCCTCCTCCTCCTCCTCCTCCTCCCCCTCCCCCCCCCATCCCCCTCCCCCTCCTCCTCCTCCTTCTCCTCCTCCTCCTCCTCCTCCTCCTTCTCCCCTCTCGTCCTCCTCCTTCCTTCCCCTCCTTCCCCGTCCCTCCCTTCCTCCTCCTTCTGCTTCGCTGGATCGATGGGTAGAGGGATCTGACGAGGAAGGATGAGGGAGGAACGTGAGGGAGGGGCGGCGGGAGAGAGCTTTGCGACGGCTGCTCGCACCTGCGTCTGCTACAATGCTGCTGCTTCGCCCAGGTACTGACTGCCCCCTGCGTGATTTTCCCAGTCTTTCATGTCGCTGAGGTGTTTGGCCTTCCACTCCACGAGCACGTCGCGGAACCGAACCGACTCGATATTGCTTCCTTCCAAGAGCTGCGCAGCATTCCGGATCTTTTTCCACTCGCTGGCTGCGCGCTTCGCTTGCCTCGCAACTCTGCTTCCGGATTGTAGCGCCTCCCGCAGTCGGCGCCTATTCTGCTGCGATGGAGATGAGTGGCAGTTGATGAGAAGCAACTGAGCGCGATCGATGACAGACTTGAAATTGCCGTTCAATTCTACCTCGCAGACCCCATCCCAAATCCGCCGACCCCTTGTGAATCTTCAAACGTGTGAAATGTTTCTCCCCTTTCTCGGGGATCTTCTGATTCGGGTCAATCCAGACCCGGGTCAGTCAGGCCTTGCAAGATCCTGCAAGATCCTGCACCCAAACCCGGGTCAGTGCGAAGGATCCTGCAAAATCCTGCACCCAAACCCAGGTCAGTGCGCCCCTGGCCCTGCAGGATCCTGCAAGATCGGGCGCCCTGGCTGACCCCCTGTGTGCATTGACCCCCGTCTCAAGGCTCCCGACTCCCAAACCGTTATATGACCGCCCTCTCCCCCGCTGACGCTGGACGAGCGCCGGGTGAACTCGCCACTGGGGGCCCCCGCCTGCTTCGGGCCCCTTTTCAGGCTCCAGGGCGGCTCTTGCGGGCTCCAAGATGGGTACGACAGCCTCAAGACACTCCGATGCAGACCCATCAGGGTTCCCAGGGACCCCGATGACGATCGAATTCCACCAGGTAGAGCGATGCCTCTTACAACCCCCATTTCGGAGTAGGGTTTGACCCCTTCCCCTCCCCCCCCGACCTGGACGGAGTGGGGGGTCGCGGTCGTTAGAGCGCTCAAAATGGCCCAACATGGCTCCAAGCGGCCCGCGAAGAGTCCAAGATGGCCTCGAAAACTGTTAAAGATAGCAAGATGGCTTTCAAGATGTCCCAAGAGGTCCCAAGACTCCTCCAAGACGGGCCATGTGGGCCAGGGGCATACCCAGGACGCCCCCGAGAGGCCCTAGTCCTTCAAATCCTCGCCCTATCGCTTCCGAGGGCTTCACGAGGCATCATGATGGCTCCGATAGTGCCCAAGATGATCCCACGAGGGGCCCAAGATGGCTGCCAAGACGGCCCCTAAAGCGCCCCAGGAGGGCCCCAAGAGGCGACCTTCAGGGTTCCAGAGGTGCGACGCTAATTAAATACACCCCCTCTTTGATCAACACAAACATTGAAACCACACATGGGTTCTGAAGACCTTTTGATTTTCGGAAGCATCTCTGGGAGGTCTTTATCCCAAGAGGGCTCCAAGAGGGCCCCAGATGCTTTAAGATGAGTTCCGAAATGGTGCAAGATGGCCCAAGCTGGCCTCCAAGATATACCATGCCCCATGGTGGCCCCAACATGGCTCCAAGTGGCCGCGGAGACTCCCAAGGAGGCCAACACCTAGGGAAATCAGTGATTGTGACCTTCTTGCCCTTTCGCTTCCAGTGGGTTCCCGAAACCTCGCGATGGCTCCAAGAGGGCCCAAGATGGCCCCAAGCCGGCCCCAACAATGCTCACTAGTGCCCCTGTCAAGCTTGGAGGGGCCTCTAAAACGACCCCCAAAGACGACACGCACTGACATCAGGATCCCAGATCACGTGGACCACGATCCAAGTGTTTTTTCTGTTCGAGAATCACTGAAATCAGGATCCCTGAACACTTGATGAACGATCTAATTGTTTTCCAGCCGGGGACAGTCCCAGACGAGGGTCCAAAATCGGGGAAGAGACTCGGGGAGGAGAGTCGGGGAGGAGACTCGGGGACGAGACTCGGGGACGAGACGAGACTCGGGGACGAGACTCGGGGAGGAGAGTCGGGGACGACTCGGGGAGCATTCTCGGGGACGAGACTCGGGAGCGACGATTCGGGGAGGAGAGTCAGACAAAAGACTCGGGGACGAGACTCGGGGAGGAGAGTCGGGGAGGAGAGCGGGAGGAGAGCGGGGAAGGGAGGAGAATCGGGGACAAGACTCGGGGAGTATTCTCGGGGACGAGACTCGGGGACGAGACTCTGGGAGGAGACTCGGGGACGAGACTCGGGGACGAGACTCGGGGAGGAGACTCGGGGAGGAGGGTCGGCGGAGGCTCGGGGACGAGACTCGGGGACGAGACTCGGGGGAAAGTCTTGGGGAGTAGACTCTCGGGCTGTCCTCTCGGTGTCTCCACGGAGCGCGGCGCGCCGGGAACACTTGGATCACGATCCAAGTGTTCCTGGGATCGTGATTTCAAGGTCTTTTCCCGAAAGGCTCCAAGGCAACCCCCAAAAGGCCCTCAAGAGGCACCCGAGACTCCTGTAGAGGCCCCCAAGAGGCCTCCAAGAGGCCTTATGGCTCTTCTGCTCGCCCCTCTCCTCCTTCTCCTGCTCCGCCTCTTCCTCCTCCTTCTCGCTCTTCCCTCCTCCATCCTCCCCCTTGTTGGGGTACGACTGCTTTGCCAGCCTTTTATTCTCCTGCATGCTCCTTGGCATCCCTGATCAGGGCAACTCGCCTGGGCGTAGTTTTTGGATGGGCTTGCAGGGTTATGCGAAGCGTCTAGAATGCGATTGCGAGGCGACCTACGAGGCCACGAAAACGCTCCAAGCGGGCACCAAAAGGCTCTCCAGGAGAATGCTGATAGGTAAAACCATTACTTTTCCGTTGGTTCCCTACCTAGGCTCTGCCTAGAAGGGTTCTTACTCTCTTTGCTTAAAGGGGCCGGGCAGTGGGGCTCGCCCCGGGCGGTTCCCCCAGTATCCGCCCCGCGGTTCCCCCAGTTGCGCCCCCCCTGGGTTCACCCAGCTTAGCTTAGCTAAGCTTAGCTAAGCAAAGCTAAGCTAAGCTTAGCTTATCTCCTCTTAGCTTAGCTTAGCATTGCCTAGCCTAGCTTAGCTATCTCATCTTAGCTTAGCTTAGCTTCTTAGCTTAGCGTCTTATCTTAGCCTAGCTTAGTTTAGCTTAGCATAGCTGAGCTTACCTTAGCTTATCTTGGCGCAGCATAGCGCAGCGCAGCATTAGCACCGCATATCATAGCATAGCATAGCGTAGTCAAGCATCGCATCGCATCGCATCGCATAGCATATCATACCATAGCTCAGCATAGCATAGCATCGCATATCATATCATAGCGCAGTATATCATATCATATCATAGCATTGCTTAGCACAGCACAGCGCAGCATAGCATAGCATAGCATAGATGCAGGTGTAGATGTTCATGTAGCTGTCGGTGTAGATGTAGCTTTCCTAAATGCTCCAACTCCTAGGTAGGGTCGCATTGGGATCATTTGTGCAAATGTTTGTTTTCGCTTTTCCCGCTCCCCGACCAACCGCAACGGCCCAAGAAGCCCCCACGATCGCCACAAAACGGCCCAAGCGACCCCCGAGAAGGCCCCAAGACGACTTAAGTGGGCCCAGACACAGCCCAAGCGGCTTCCACGATAGCCCCAAGCGGCTCCAAGAGGACCCCAGGAACGCCTCAGTAGAGGTCCGGGCAAGGGAACGTGCACTGACATGCAGACACTGTCGCCCCGAGGAAGCGCCCACGGCCCCAACGCGCTTCCCGAAGGACACCAAGAGCCCCAAACAAGCCAAAACGACGCTCGACGGAGCTCCACTAGGCCTCCAACAAGCCCAACAGAGCCCCAACACAAGCCCCCAAAAAACCTCCAACAAGCTCCAGGAACTACCCAGAATGCCTGCAATGATGGCCCCCGACATGCATCCCGACAGGCTCGCAGATGCATGCTGTTCGCTGAACCGTTCTGGAGGTTGACTCCTTGGCTGACCCAAACACATCCCGAGATTCGGTGCGGGGGCTGCCCGCCCACTTTGTAGGCCGCTGGCTTGTAACATATCTCGCTCTGCCCTACCGTCTCAGACCCCCGAGCCTCAACCGCGCTCACAGACACGACCACGGAAAGGCCCGAACGGAGGCCCAAGCAACCTGAACGACAACCGACTCTACAGTCACTATGATCCCCCAGCGACAACCCCACAACGCCTCGAAGAAGCCCGAAACAGCCCCCACGGGACACCCCGACCAACGCTGAACATACCCCGACCCCTTTCACTGAAGTGAAAGGGGTCGGCGGATGTGGCGTAAACCTTTCGAATATGCAAGGCATCGAGTACGCGCCCGCAGACCATTAACGCCTTCGACATGATGTTGTATGCGATGAGGTCTGGCAATACTCCGTATTCATGTGTCCACCTTCGCCACAAGACGTTGGCACGCTGCCAATCTTTGTTCTCAGCCGCCGCATTGATCAGAGCACCCAAAGTGACGTCTTGAATCCATAGTTCTCCTGACATCGCCGCGGCTTGGATCATGTCGTCCACCTCCTGGTGCTGCTGACACGTCTCCAAGACACTGGCATAGGCGCAGTATGGCAAAGCATCAATCTCGAACTCTTGCTCACCTGCCCAACGCCACAAATCTCGCGCCCAGGACAAACCCCCATTGTTACGCGCAACTGCGCACACAGTCAAGGCGGCGTTCAATTCGATGTTTTCGTTCAGCGCGTCTGGCGACGGATCGCGTTCGTCCCACACATCCTTCCCAAGCTGAACCAACTGTCGCTGCCTGTCTGGAACAACACCGCACATAGCCCCGAAAGCGCTCTTGGCGAGTGCTGTGAGGTATATGCTTCTCCCGATCGGATCCATTCGAACGCCGATTTCCTGCTGCAGCGACCTGATCTCCAATAGCGTCGCCCACATCGCTTGTAACCACACGATTGCATGGCCGCGCCGAACACACTTGGCTCAATGAGACCATCAGCGCACGCTTGCCTCACGATCTGCAAGACACGCCCCTTCGACTTAGACGCCTTGACTGCGTGCCGGATCCCAGAAGCCTTGTCCGTTCGACCCTCTGAAAGGCCATGGCTCGGGCACGCAGGGGCCAACAATACGGGAGAGACCTCTGTCCCCGCCTTTCCGGCAGACGCCCGTCTGAATGGGTCCTTGGACGGGTTCATCTTCCTCTGACGCATCGCAATAGGAAACTGCTCTGGTCGAGAGTTGCTCCGCATGGCACACACGGCCAGAGCTCCCAGGATCGCTGTGAGGCCCTTCGTTGCAGACTGCACGCGGCACGTCTGCCCCGGCGCCCCGGGGGCGGAGCGCCCACAACTCACGCAGAAACTGCGGAGAGGGGGCCGCCGCCAGCTTCCAGTAGAGGCGGAGGGAGCAAGCGTGAGGCACCGCATGCCATGTGACATCCTCTGAGAGTCCCTGGTCAGGGCAGGCCCTTGCGGCTTCGAGGAAGCCACCGCAAGGACAATCACAGCCGCGACCCTTGAGTTGACATGGCAATGGAGATCTCGAGTCAAACGTTTACAACGTACTTGTTGAATACCGACTGCATGGTCAAGAACTGGACCCTTGGACCCTTGGACAAGACGTGACATGTGTCTAGGGCCATCACCCGTGAACGGAGAAACGCCACAGGCTTGGAACTGGCTCCAACTTCGCCCCCCCCCCCCCCCCCCCCAGGAGCGCTCGACGGCACACTCCTGAGAGGCATGGGCGCCCTGTACAGCCTGTATGCCAGCCACGAACGCCCCATGGCCCGAATGCTAACTCGGGGGACCGATACCTGCCAGGAGCACCGAAGGCATCCTGGGCAGGACGGCCGCCCCTGCTCGGGAAGGCACGGGGAGCCCCGCGCGGCAGCCTCGTGCCGTGGCGCTTTGCGCGCTGCTTCCTGGCACCGTGCGGGCCGCTGCACCCTGAGCGGTCTCGGATCCCAGGAATCCAGTCCCAAAGGATCTCTGCGGAATCCTCAGGGGGCACCAAGAAAGTTCCTGATGGAAGCCCAAGGAATTCCCAAGGGATCCGAAGGAATGAAAGAGCGCGTTCTTTGGTCGCTTGGAAGGGGGGGGGTTGAAACCAGGACGCCGGGGGGGTTCGAACCTCTCCCCCCCCTCCTCTGGGTCCCCTCTCCTCGGGCCGGCGCTTGTGTCTGCGGCGGCTGGCGACGGCGGCGGGGACGACGATTTCCCCATTTCTGGGCCGGCGCCGGCGCCTGCGGCGGCGGGCGGCGGTGGCGGGGAGCGTTGACGAGGACGACGGTGGTTTGTGGTGGTGGTGGTGGTGGTGATGGTTGTGTGGTGGTTTGTGGTGGTGGTGGTGGGTTGTGCTGCTGGTAGTGGTGGTGGTTGTGGCGGTGGTGGTGGTGGTGGTGGTGGTGGTGGTGTGGTAGATTGTGGTTGTGGTGGTAGTAGTGGTGGTGGGTTTTTGTGGTGGTGGTGGTGGTGGTGGTGATGGTGAGTTGTGGTGGTGGTTGTGGTGGTGGTGGTGGCTGTGGTGGTCGTGGTGGTTGTGTGGTGCTGTTGGTGGTGGTGGTGGTGGCTTGAGGCGGTGGTGGTGGTGGTAGTGGTGGTGGTGGTAGTGGTGTAAATGTCGCTGCGTCCCCGCCGTCGCCGGCGCGAGGGGGAGGGCTCCCCGGCGCCAGGCCAGGGGGGGGGGGGTTGAACCCCCCCCCTGGGCTGCCTCTGGTCATCGTCGCTGCGTCCCCGCCGAGGGCGCTGCTGGCGGCCGCCGGCGCCGGCGCCGGCGCCGAGGAGGGGGTTTGAACCCCCCTCTCCTTGGGAGGGGGGGGTTCGGGAGGTGGGGGGTTTGGGGGGAGGGGAGTCCCCTCTGGCCTTGATCGACGGCGCCGAGTGTTGGGGGGGGCCCACCCCCTGGTTCGAAACGCGCCGCCGAATGTTCCCCAGGCACGCGCCCGTGAAACGCGTCCTCTCGAAGAAATCCGTCGGACATCCCAAGGAGTCCTTCCTGTCCTACGGAATCCCCATGGAATCCCTCGAAGATTCCAGGAATCCTTAAGGATCCTAGAGAACCCTTGGGAAGGTCCCTGGAGGCTCTCTGCCCCATCTCATCGTGCCGCAGGTGTTCGCTGCTGCAGGGCCTGGGGCCCGAGGGGCGCCCCCGGGGCCGCGCTCAACCCTGCACCCCCGCGCCAGGGCCGCCGCCGCGTCGGCACGACGCGAACCTGCCGGATTCGCTCGACTCTTCCCCACCTCTCAGGGGCAATGCGGTGAAGGCACCCGATACGGAGCCATTGGAAAAGAAACCCAGGGTCTGGAAGTCGGTGGAGCACCCACTGAAGCTTGGCCGAGATCATCACCGCCAAGATAAGGAATCGTCCAAGGTCTGAAGCCTCCTGTTGAGGGGCAACGATAGGGGGGGACTGGCATAGGAGGGGATGCATCGACCTGGAATCGGCTATACATCGCCGATAGATCGGCGATAGGCCTCCGACAATGAATCCGCACCTTCCTGGGCAGATTGGGGCTATCGGGCCCCTCTCGGCGATCAATGGGCGGTTGAGGGTCGATGCATCTCCCCCATACCTATCCCCCATGAACGAACGCCCCCACCGTCCCCTCATGGTGAGCGCCCAGAGAGGATGGCCTCCGCGGCTCCTTCGGAGCCAGGCCCGCATGGCTGCACTGGGCCTCGGAGACGACCACGGACGTGGCGACGGTTGCGCAGTCGGCATCCCCCCCCTGGGGTAGCGCGATGCCTAGTCTGGGTCCGCATAGCGAATGGCTACGCTAAACGTCCCAGGAGCTCAGGAAAGTCGCGACGGTTGCGCGGCTGGCAGCCCCCCTGTGGAGCCTGAGGTCTCGTCTGGACCACCTGGGAGCTCGCGAAGGTGGCGACAATTGCGCAGTTGGTAGCCTCCCTGGAAACAGGGGAACCAGCAGCCCTCCGGGAAGCGCGATGTCTAGTCTGGGTCCGCATAATTAGCGCGCCACTGCGCTACACCTCCTAGGAGCTCACGAGTGTGGAGGCGGTTGCGCGGATGGCAGCCCCCTTGGCAGCGCGGAGCTCTCAAGTGATGACGGTTGCGCAAATGGCAGTTCTCCAGGAGCGCAGGGTCTAGCCTGCGTCCGCGCAGCACGTTGCTGCGCTGGACCTCACAAGTGCTCACGAACGTGGCGACAGTTGCGTGGTCGGCAACCACCCGAGGAGCGCGAGGTCTAGCCTGGGTTCGCGTAGCGCGTTGCTGCGCTAGACCTCCGAGAAGCCCACGAACGAGGCGACAATCTCCTGAGACACGCCAGGTGTAGTCGAGGCCCAGGCCACGCGTCGCTGCGCTGGACCTCCCGGGAGCTCACGAATGTGCGGACAATTGCGCAGTTGGTAGCCTCCCCAGGAACACGAGGTCTAGTTTGGTCCGCGCAGCGCGTCGCTGCGCTGAGTATCCTACGCTCTATAGCTTTCACCTCAAGCTCACACCACCTAGCTTGCACGACATGCCTTACACCACATAGTTGTTGCTTTCCTCCTCAGCTCACACCGTACATCTTACACGAAACAGCTTTCAGCACATAGCTTACTCCTTATAGCATACGCATCCATCGTGCAATACAGCGCTGCTTGGGGTCCACGCTGGCTAACAATCTACGGAAGACGGGCTGCTTTCAACATCAATACCGTCGTACCTTCTGGGCGGCAAGCGACAACCCGGCGGACCCACCCAGCACATGGGAATCCAACGAGGCGCCCACGATCAGCCACCAACCTAGCACCACGCGAAACCTTGGCGAACCCGCCAAACGCACGGGTTCCCTCGAAGCTCCCATGACCAGCCACCAACCAGGCACCCGCGAGGTCGAGGGCCGCCAAGGGCGCGCCGTGGCCGCGCCAGAGAGCCCCCCCACCTGGGCGTCCTCGTCCGTGAGGAACAGGTCCCTGCCCGCGGCGTCCAGCTGGCGGCGGCGCGCGCGCGGCGCGGGCGCCCGTCGCCGAGGGGGAGCGACTGCCTCGCAGCTCCTTGCTCACGCTGCAGGGGGCGAAAGCGGTGGGGTGGGCAGAGGTGGAGGAGGGAGCGGGGGTGCGGGGGAATCGGGGGGGGGGGGTCGAGGGGGGTCGAGGGCAAGGGGAGGGTGGTCGAGGGGGGGTGGGGGGAGCAGGGGAGGGTGATCGAGAGCAAAGGGGATCGAGGGGGATCGAGGGTGAAGGGCGTCCCGGGGCATCGAGGGTGAAGAGGGGTGAGCCAGGGTGAAGGGGATCGGGGTGGATCGAGGGAGTAGCAGGGGTGAGGGGGGCGGTGGGAGGGGAGATCAGAGTCACAACAGTCGCGAGGCGACACGCGAAAAACTGCGGCCTGCTCAAGGATTATTGTGTCATAGAGCCTCGGGAGGAAACGATCAATCCACTCCCGCCACACATGCGTGAGCCCAACACCAGCACGGAGGAGGAGGAGGAGGAAGAAGAAGAGGAGGAAAAAGAGGAGGCGGAAGGTTCTCCCTGAAGCTGCGGGCGAAGCGCCCCCAGAGCTCGGGGAAGGGGAGAGGAGGGCACCTGCGCCCCGATGGACCTCAACGTGTCCAGCTGCGGCTGCACCAGCGCCGCGTCCGCGTCCAGCATCAGCACATGGGAGAAGCGCTGCGGGCTGCGGGGGCGAATCGCTGAGAGAAGCAGCGGAGCGGATGACAAGAACGAGTGAGCAAGTTGAACTCAGGGAAAGGACACATAGCGGTACTTCTACCTTTCCCTCTTCGCTACGGCTGGTCTCACCCCGAAAGCCTGGGCCGAACGAGCCCCTGGAAAAAGTCCGTGGAGCAACGGTATCGGAATCTTTGTGTTCCGTCAAACTGCGAGAGAACTAAATGAACGGGACAACTCTTTTGGTTCAATCATTCGTTCTTTCACTCATGCCGTGTGTGTGCTTGTGTGTGTGTCTGCGTGTGTGGAAGGGAGGATCTTGTCCGGCGCCTGCTTGCTGCGGCGCGAGAGGTGGGCGCCGTGTTGGCCGTGCGGAGGGATCGGGTGTCCGTACAGTCAGGCTGCTGCAAAAAGGAAGGCTAGATAAAAGGAACGGAGCCCTTTTGGCTCCAAAAGAGCCTTGGTGCACGATGAGGGCTAGAGGAACAGCCACGGAATGACCTTAGGAACAGCGAGCCCCTTCCGCACCCAAAGCGGTCCTTTCTTCAGTGCCTTGACAGTGGAGTGCGTGCGCGTCGGGCACCTCCTGGATCTGGTGCGGCCGCGGGTGCGGGGGCAATTCGTGGGCGCGGGCGTGACTCCGGAGGTCCCTGGAGCCCGGTCGCTCGGGGCCCGCGGAGCGACGAGGCTCCGGGCGGGCGCCGAGGAGGGCAGAGGACGGGCCGAGGCGACCGAGGACCGAGCGAGGGGCGGGGCGGGGGGGGGGGGGGCGCGGCAGGGCGGGGGGACAGACGTGCAGCCGCCGTGCTGCTGTCATCGGGAGCGCCGAGCGGAGAACGAAGGGGCTGGCCTGGCCACGGCGAGCCTCGGCCTCCTCGGCCTGGCCCGCTGGAGCGGCCCGGGCACCGGGGAGCCCCTTCGAGCCCCGCAGGCGGTCCTTGCCGCAGCGTCCTGGCTGCAGGGGGGGGGGAGGGGAGGACAGGGAGGCGCAGGAGGCGCGGCCCCAGGGGGGCAGGGGGGGGAGGGGGGGGCGACCCGCGGGGGAGGGGGGGGGCACGGGCCACTGGCGCCCGCCTGCTGCTCCTCCCACTTTGCTCCTGGTGCTGCTGCTGCTGCTCGTCCTCGTCCTCGTCGTTCTCGTCGCTGTCGCCATCGCCGTCTTCTTCTTCCTCCTCCTCCTCCTGCACCCCCTCATTTTCCCCCCTCTCGCGCCTTTTCCTGACCTTCTCCTCCCAGCCTTTACGGACAGTCAACCTCCTCCTCCTTCTCCTCCTCCTCCTCCCTTTCAATGGCAAGCTGCGCGGAAGCGTGCCGCAGCGCCGAACAGCGGCGGCAGCAATCATCACGCAGCGAACCAGGGAAAGGGAAGGGAGGAGGCGGAGCGCTCCTCCCTCCTTCCCCCCCCGCGCGCCTTGCCTCTATACCCTCCCCTTGGCTTCTCTCTCCGACGCCTCGGAACACACGTGCGTTAGGCCGAGAGGCAATACTACAGATCAACACGTACGCACAACGCATACACGCCAGTGCTAACCGTGAGAGGCTGTCACGTGCAACGTATGAGGCAGAACCCTAAAGCGACAGCCTCTGCCGTGAATGGAAATACCGCGTGCTGGAATACATGCAACGCAATGCTGATGGTAGTGTGCACCAACGGCTTTCTCTGACAGCGCTAGCCTCGACGATCGAGGCGGCGGACGAACAGGAGAGGATTTGTGCGTGCCGCCGTCAGGATAACAGGTGAGGTCAGCTTCGCATGGACTCAATTCGCGCACAGTGGGCGCGATCTCTTCGAGCCAACTCTCGCCGATAGCGATAATGAAATTCGCAAGGAATCATCGATCTGATAATTTGCTGGTCTGTGCCAAAGTACAGGGTCGGCAATGCGAGTGGCCTATGCCCACCCAGTGGGAACGAGGTTGAACTTCGCGCCTGAAACCCCTTCCAGCACTTGGAAGGTATGGACGGCGCGCGGCCGCCAACAGTTTCAGCAATACGATTACAGAACACCAAAAGCTCGATCGGCGGAATTTGTTCGCCACGGGCCATCGGACATCATAATGTTAACCAGCGAACTTGTAACGCCTGATCCCAGATGGCTTAGTGGTGCGCCCCTGGCGTCCAAGCCGTGGCTCTAGCGGGCCTGCCCTGCACCTGGCACGCGTGGGGCGCTCGCTGGGCTCGGGGGCCTGTCGGTCATGGGTGCAGTGCGAGTGCGCAGCAAACCGGAGGGGCGGGGGGCAGAGGGACGGGAAACTGGGGGAGGGCAGAGGGAGGTGGGGAGGCGGAGGACGAGCAGAAGCAGCAGGAGCAGAAGCAACAGCGGGGTGAGAGGCCTCCTATGTTTTGCACGAACTCGTTGGTCAATGTGTGAGCCTGCAGGATGGCCCTGGTCGCCGCGGCCTAATGCCCAAGACAATCCTGGTCGGACGTTCTCCAGGAAAATGCTCATTGTCGACTCGAGGAGGAGGTGGGGGAAGAGGAGGAGGCGGAGGAGGGAAGGCCTTTCTGCCGGCCTGTCTGCCGGCCTCGGGGTGCGACAGGGAGGAATTATCGATAAGGAGGAGGAGGAAGAGGAGAAGGAGAGGAGGATGAGGAGGACCAATTCAAACCCAAGACTCATCAACGATATTGAACTACACCATCCCTCTAATATCCCTCCTCGTAAGCCCCATACATGGGGACATTTCCACGGGGGGAATTTTCCCACAGTCGTGTGAAAATCCTGAAGCGTGCCAAAACATCGTTCTCAGGACTTCGACGCGGCGAGTGAATATGTTTGTTACGTCTTGGCGATCGCGAGTGGTGCCAGAACGCCATTCCTGGGACTCCAACGCCGCGAATCAAAATTCGCCGGCCCAACGGGCCAGAGGCGTGCTAAGATCTCCGGTAACTTGTTAACAATATTTCTAGTTCGCGCGCGCGGAGCGGCCCCTGGGGGCCCCCGGACGAAAAGTACCCCGGCAAGGTCCAGAGAGAAGCCCGGGAGAAGCCACCAGACCACTCCAGGGGAGGGTAATTTTCGACACCCCTCACGAAGATCGTGGCCTCCGAGGGGGGAGCCGCAATCGACTACCCCCAAGAGCCCCCCAAGAGGCCCTGGGGGCCTCCAAAACGCCGCCAAGGAGCCCCAAGAGACTCCCAAGAGGTCCCCAAGAGGCCCCCAAGAGGCCCTACAGAGGGCTCCAGGGCGGGCGGCATGAGCGAAGCGATTAAATAACTGTTGCGCCCTGACAGTCCTGAATCGTTCCATCACGCCGTTTCGGGTACTCCAACCATGAACATTAACTAACCTCTTGCACATGTTCTAACTGAATGTGCACGGCGCTAATGCGAGAGACACATGTTGAAAAAACGACTTCATCCGTGAAATGTCTGCGAATGTTTAGGACACTTGTGCGGGGCGCTACAGCGAGAACCACATGTTGAAAACGAACCGCCGTCAATACGTAAAGGTCTTGCATATCTTCAACAAGAATATGCGCGGCGCTACAGCGAGAACCACATGTTGAAAACGAACCGTCGTCAATACGTACAGCGCTTGCATCTGCTCAACAAGAATATGCGCGGCGCTAAGGCCAGAAACACATTTTGAAAACGAGCCGCCTTCACTCCGTGAAGCTCTTGTATTTGTTTAGAACGATTGTGCGCGGCGCTGAGGCGAACACCACACTTTGAAAACGACCCGCCCTCAATCCGTGAAGCCCTTCCAAACTTTGAGAATTCATGTGCGCGGTGTTACGACGAGAGCCACATTTTGATAACGAGCCGTCCTCAAACTGTGCACCTCTTGCAAACTTTAAAAAGCGACTGAGGGCGGCGCTGAAACGATAATCACATGTTGTAAACGACACGCTATAATTCCGTGAAGCTCTTGCACTTTAAACAATGGATGTGCGCGGCGCTAAAGCAATAACAACACATTGAAAACGAACCACTCTCAATCAGTATAGTTCGCGGCGCAAAAGCGAAAAACACATTTTGGAAGCGACCCACTCTCTAAACATCAGGGTCATACGTGATGGGGTAATCTCAGGCGAAACGCCCGGCCCGCGGCAGCGGAAGGAAGAAAGACATGCGCATTAGGCGGGCGGAGGAGGGAACGGGAGGACGAGGCAGGCCTGATCGCGCTGGCCGGGAAGGAGGCTCGGGCCGCGGCCTGTGGAGGTAGTCCGACAGCATCAGGTGCTTCTCCCAATTGAAGTTTTCCCGCTCGTTCCTGCGGGGACAGGGCCCTGGCCCGGGCCGCGCCCGAACACCGGGCGCCCACCGCAGCAGCTGCAGCGCCCGCCTTCTGGGTTTGAAGAGAGCTGGGGACGTGCGTAAAAAAAACGCAGAGCGGTAACTACAAGACGATCGGTGGCGCCGACGGCGACAACGATGCTATGTATGTTTTTGTGGCCGCTGCCGCAGAGCGCAAGCGCGTCTCCCGAAGCACGGGAGGGGCGCGCTCGTCACCCGCCTGCCCGCTGGTCGATTCGAGACGGACTCTCACCTCCTCCTCGCACGTAGCCCAGGAAAGTCCAAACGTCCTCACCGCTCTACCTCAGCCTGCTGCAGCATCTGGGCACGTGCAGCACGTGCCGAACAATCGAGAGACTGGGTGGGGCAACGACGGTGTGCGTTGTACATGTAGTATGCAATAATCATACGCTGGCACGCCACCCCCGGATCCTCCGGTTTGGGGGGGGGGAACGAGCAAAAACTGCGTATCCCCCCCTTCCTCCCCCTGCTCCCGCTCCCGCTCCTCGTCCCTCCCCCCCTTTGCTCCCGCTCCCTCCTGTTTCTGTTCCTTCCCCTCCCCCCCGAAAGGATGGGTGGAACATAAACCACCTGCCATCAATTGTTCTCCTCGCTGCCCACATGGCTTGGACGCCCTCTGCAACCGCCAACAAGGTTCCGGAACACCATGCCGATGCCCGAACGGGCCCCACTTCCCCTTCTCCTACCCTCCGCCCCCCCCCTCCTCCCCTCCGCAATTCCCTCGGCCCCCTGGGGGAAGTGCGGGGGCGAGGGGGGGCGCGTCGCAGCGGAGAGCACCGCAAAAGGGGGGGAGAGAGGAAGCCAAGCGAAGCGAAGCGATAGCGCCGGAGTCGGGCACACAAGTGTGCCCGTGCCCACTTTGGCAGGGCGCGTGAGGCCGTGGCCACATATCGAATGCGAATAGAAGTCGTGGACGAAATACTCCAGGAGCCATCGCACAAAAAAACACATAACAATATTCGTACGACGTGTGAACCAGTGAACAAAGAAGGCCAGGGGAAGTGGGGAAGAACTCTTAGAAAGACCCTGCTCCCTAGAAGGCGCAGGCCTTGTCTGCAGACCTAGGGCCGGCGCATCCTGAGAGGCACCCTGCCTTTTCCCTTTCCCCTGTCCCCTTGTGCGCGCCGCCAACGGTGCGCTTTCGGCGAAGCGCAGACGGTGGAATGCATTCCGAGGTTGGAAGACCGCTGGGAACCGACAGAAATGTTAGAAAATCGTGAAGCCCGACTCCGACAGAGTCGTCCTAACCCATGTTGCTGGGGACAGAACATCCACAACACTCCACAGGGCGAGAGACGGAAACTCCCTTCAAGGCGTGGAGCTGAGGCTCTCAAGAAAACCAGGGCGATGGCCAGGAGAAGCGCGTCGCAGACCAGAGATCCCCGATCGGACGCAAAGGCCCCCAGGCCCCCAGGCACCCGAAATAAGCCCACGAGGCCACGGGGCCAGGGGTCTCAACCGACGCCGGCGGCGCAACAGCTGCGCTCGGAGTCGAGGAACTTGCGCTCGTGTCCCTTGTAGCGCTCAGCTGCGGCACCAGGCGCGGCGGCCGTGGCGGCCAGCAAGGCGCCCCGCAACCCCGAGGTGACCGCGAGGCCAAGGGCCGCGGAGACGAACCCCCACCAGCGGGGAAATGTCCGAGACCCGGCGAGCCCATCCCCCCCCTTGAGCGCTGCCCCTGGCTCGACACCTTGCCAAGTTGGAGAAGGGCAGCCTTTCCGGTCCAGGCAACGACGCGAGAAGCGCGATTATCTTCGCTCCCCTGCGAGTGACCCAGCAATGATTGGATGCGGCCAGGCGGTCTGAACAGGTTGGGGCACAAGACAAGTCAGGAGGGGGCGTGAAGCCACATCCGCTCAGAATCGGTCCCCCGACCCCTCCCAGGATCCATCTGGTGCAGCTTCTCACTCTTGATGACGGTCCCAGGGCCTGAAAACGACCCCCCGAGACCGAAAAAAACGAAAACCTTCTCGAACCCAGCACCTCGAAACTTGCCCCCCCCTCGCACCCCTGCTGGCTGGAACCCGTGCTGGGCCACCTCAGACCCCCAGCCGACTCCAAGGCGCGGACCACGGTGCCAAAAGTTGAGCAGGGACCGACCGTCCAGGCATCTCTATCAACCTACCACGACATGTTCGCAGTCGCAGTGCCAAATAATGTTCTGATGTCAGAACCAAGGTTCTTATCACAGAAAGCCACTGTGTTAGAACAAGACAGCCTGAACCAGCCATGTCCTGAGAACACGTCGTGCAGACCACGAAAGGCTCGTGGGCCTGCAGGCAAGCCAGGGCGCCTCGTCCATGCACGAAAGGGGCCCTGACCCCTGAGCCTCTCCCCCCTGCCCGTCCTCTGCCGCTGCCCCCCTCCACGCCCGTCGGCCGCGCGGCCGCCGGCCGTGCTCCCCCCCCTCCGCTCCCCGCCCGCGGTCCTCGCTGTGCACTGCCTCCGGGAGATCTCCTCCCCGCAGTCTTCCGCCATCCACCTGGAGGCGCTGGCGCCCAAGGTTGCCGCGGGCTCGTGTCGTGTCGACGCTGGCGTGGGTTCTTGACACCGCGGGGGTCGTTCAACCTTGAAGGATCGGCCGTTTCCGAAACGTCGGATCGTTCACCATCGACCGACTCTGGGTCGCCGGCGGCGTTCCACGTCTAACGCCGGCGGCGGGGTCGCCGCCGGTCGACACGACGCGAACCTACCGTAGATGCCTCCCAAATAGGGTCCGAGCAGATGGGGTCGGAGGATCGCGCGCGGCGCATCGCCGATACATCGGCAACGTCTGCGATGCCAGCGGCGCCGTCGGCGTGGAGAAAATCGGGCTCCATCGGCGATGCGGTGCGATCCTCCGACCCCATCTACTCGGACCCCATCTGGGAGGCCCAGACAAGGCGCGAGGCGGGCGAGCGCTGGGAATTTCGGCGGATCGGAGAGGCCCTGACATGTTCAGGCTGTAAGAAAAATCGCGACGGAAGGTTTTTGGCCGTCTGCGGCCTCTAGGGGCCCTTACTGGGCCCTGGGACCGTCTACGAACGGCTCAGGATGAGGATGAGGAGGAGGAGGAGAAGGACAAAGAGAAGGACGAGGACGAGGAGGACGAGGACGAGGACGAGGAGGAGGACGATGAGGAGGAGGAGGAGGAGGAGGAGGAGGAGGAGGAGGAGGAGGAGGAGGAGGAGGAGGAGAGGCCAGGGGATTGTGGCGGCCCTCGCTATTTTGAGTGTGTTTTTGCAGTGTGTTCGTGATTTGTTCGTTCTCGTTTATCGTGATCTTATTATTTTCTTCTTGTCCATCTCTCTCTCTCTCTTTCTCTCGCTCTCTCTCTCTCTCTCCCACTCTTCGCCAGCCTCTTCACAAAAAATGCCCCCCGAACATTGTCCTCGGAACTCCAGCCTTGTGCCAAACGGCATGGGGCTGGAATTTCGCCAGACGAATTTTTACGAGCTTTCAGCCTTGTCTTCATTATTCCCCTTACCAGGGTGAGGGGGCCGAACGGTTATTCATTGTCCCTGGATGCGTGGCTGAATAAGGAACTCGTAATGTAAATTCTGCTTGCTGTTGTTTGTTGTCGTCGTCTGACCCGCGACCCACCCCGCGACCCACCCCACGACCCACCCTGCGACCCACCCGCGACCCACCCCGCGACCCACCCCGCGACCCACCCCGCGACCCATCCGCGACCCACCCCGCGGCCCACCCGCGACGACCCACCCCGCGACCCACCCGCGACCCACTCCGCGACCCACCTTCAAGGGAGGAGAAACCACCCGGACCCGACAATTGACGTTTACTAAACGGCTCTGGGCGTTGACTAAACAGCCCTACCCTGTTCGATTCATTCCTTGCGTGCGTTTACTGAACGGCTTCGCTTGTCGGGATGATTATTATGGAATGGATTTTCTGCCCCCTACACCCGCGACCCACCCGCGACCCAACAACGACCCACCCGCGACCCAATTTGCGACCCATCCGCGACTTACCCACATTGGTTTAACGAGAAAATCGGCGCCTGCGGTGGGACCGTTGTATAATCTGTGAGACTTTGGCGCCTGCGGCGAGCTTCTCCGGAGTCTCGCAAACTGCCGACGTCCCCACCGCCCCCACACTCTTATCCGCATTTGCGGGGTGCTATATATTTCCACTCTCGCTTTCTTCCTTTGCCTCTCCCCCACATGCACATTATGTACATCTCCTTCCTTAGATATCACAAGCGAATCCCTCTGGAAAGCGAAGCAACGATACTCTATGTCCTCGCAACAGGAACCCGCTGGGAATCATTACCACAGGATTGTATGGGAAAACCTTATAATCGGAGCCGTTTGGGAAGCACGGCTGAAGGCTTCTATTAGGGCGCATCACACGGGGAAACCTTTGGACAACACAAAGTATTCGATTGGACGGCCTCGGGCTTGGAACATTGTGCGACATGCTACACAAGAGCTCCATTGTATGGCCTCACAACAAGGATCATGTGAAAACTTCTGTCCAGCAACGCGCATTCTGTTAGAAACAATCATAATTGGAATCCTTCGGAAAGCGCACCCGAAGGAGTCAGTGGGAACAAACAACTGGGACTTGCTGGCAAGGAATCTACCAGGTTTTATCGGACGGCCTCGCAATAGAGATCCTTTGAACAGCGCAATAACATGGATTATATCGAAGCGCCTGGCAACAAAACCCCATTGAATAACACCACACAGGGATTGTTTGGGAAACCTCACAGGAGAACTCCTTTGGAAAGCAAGACGAATGACTCCTACTGGGAAGCGGCACAAGAGGAATCCTCTGGAAAACGCTACGGCGGGCTCATATAGGAAAATACAACAAAAAAGTGATCCTTTGGCAAGCGCCACGCGTCGATTCTAGTGACTTGGAAAGCGCTACTAAGGGGCTCCTATTGGGAAACCGCACAAACAGAAACCCATCGGAAAACACCACAAAGGAACTCCCTGGGAAAACCTCAAACCAGAACGCCGGTTTGGAAGCATCACTGAAGGCTCCTTGAACCGCACAAAAAAAAAATTCATCGGAAAGTACCACAGAGGGGTTCAACCGGGAAGCCTCACAAGATGAATCCTGTGGATAGCGCCGCACAGGGATTTGATAGGAAAACCTCACGACGGGACTCCTTTGGAAAACACCACAGAGAGATATTACTGAAAAGCCTCGCAACGAAAATCGTTTGGAAAACACCACAAGGGGATTCCACAGGAAATCCTCACAGTGGAAATCCTTTGGAACGCGCCGCAAAAAGGTTTCTATGGGAAAACATCACAACAAAGATCCCGTGGTAAACGCACGGAGATTTTATCCGGAAGCAACACGAACGAATTCGTTGGAAAACGCCACAACAAGTTTCTACCGCAAAACCTCACAACTGGAATCCAATGGGAAGCACCAAGAAGAGATTCCCTTGGAAAGCCTTACACCAATAATCCATTGGAAACACCGCAGCGGCATTCTATCGGAAACCGTCACTGTGGAAATCCTTTGGGAAGAAAGCGCCGCATAAGGATTCCACGGGGAAGCCTCACACCATAACACTTTTTGAAGACACCAGTGAGGCTTCTATGTGGAAACCGCTCAAAAGATATCCCATCGGAAAACATCACAGAGGGATTCAACTGTGAAACCGCACAACGGGAATCTTGTTGATAGCGCAGCAGAGGGTTTCTATTGGAAAGCCTCACGACAAGACTCCTCTGGAAAGCACCACGCAGAGATTCGCAATAGGAGCTTTGGGAGGGTGGTATACTTGGGGGGGTCCAATACCCCCTGCGCGGGAAGGCTTTCCCAATGTTTCGGAAAGTCGTTCCGCGTCGCGTTCGGCGGCGACCGAGCGCGCCAACTCGCAGGCCAAATTCGCATGGACTCGGATTTGCGAGAAAGCTGAAAGCAGAGCGGGCGCAGCAATTCAGCTACACGCGCGATAGCAGCATCAAGACGCTGATGGCGAAGCACCGCGGCTACATGTGTGCGCACGTAAGTTGCAGCGTTGATGTTGGCCTTGGCGCCGCGGTTACGCATCCTTTTCGGCCTGCGCTTGCTCATTTTCCTCTGCTCGTCTCCTGCTCCATTATCCTCGCATTCGTATTTCTGGCGATTCCCAATGGGATTTTCTGCGTTGCTATTGTTGCGTTGGGCCGCTCTCCTCCTCCTCGCCTCCTCTCTCCTATCTCCTCGATCCTACCTCCTCTCTCCTCTCTCCTCTCTCCTCCCACTCCTCCTCCTACTCCTCCAACTACTCGTCATCGTCGTCGCCCCCCCCCCCCCCCCCCCCCCTCCTCCTACACCCCTCCTGGAAGAGGGGGGCTGGAGGAGGGAGGGGGGGGGGGGAGGAAGAGGAAAGAGGAGGGGGAGAGGAGGAGGAGGAGGAGGAGGAGGAGGAGGAGGAGGAGGACGAGGCGGAGGAGGGGGCGGAGGAGGAGGAGGAGGATGAGGAGGGGGAAGAGGAGGAGGAGGAGGAGGAGGAGGGGGAGGAGGAAGGGGAGAGGGGAGGGGGAAGAGGAGGAGGAGGAGGAGGAGGTAGGAGGTAGGAGGTAGGAGGTAATAGGTAGGATGCAGGAGGTAGGAGGAGGGGGGGGGCAGGAAGAGGAGGAGGAAGATAAAGAGGGGAAGAAACGGCGCGCGGAAGAGCACCGGCAACGGCGACAGGGTGCCGATGACAAGGGGCACGACTCGCGTCGTGTGTGTTGTTTTACTGGGGCCGCCAGGGCGAGATGGTGACTGCGTCGTAGGCAAAACGAGCCGCGCGACATTCATTCTGCGATCTGGCGTGACGCCGCACCGAGCACTCCAAGCATGTATGTCCTGGCTTGACGCGCGCGGGCAGCATGAAAAATGCGCGCGCCCTCTCTAAAAAATCCTACTGCTCATAAGCCACCTGGCTTGCCGCGGAATGCGTCGGAACGCAGCGCCACCTTAAGGCGCGCCCCCGGCGGCCTTTGCGCGGAGGCGCTTGCGGGGCGCCTCCGATACAGCCTCGCCCGCGGGGGGCGAAGGCGACGGCCGCTTCGAGTTGCTCCCTTGGGATCCGCTCCCAGCCGCTTTCTTCGCCACGGGCGTGCTGGGGGCGCGGGGCTCGGCGAAAGCGTCGCCCTTCCACTCGGGGACTTTCGGCGGCGCGGCCACCCCTCCGTTCTCGAAGTCCGCGCGGAGGTCATTGATGCAGACCTTGCGGCCCCCTGTCTCCACGAGCACAGTGGTGTCCAAGTCGAACGGGTTCTTGAACTCGACGGATTTCCCGATGAGGATGACCTTCGCCTTCTGCTCCAGGTCCAAGCGGCACGTGACCTCCCAAGAGTTCCCCCCCACCTCGGTCGTTTTGAAGTAGCCCTGCTGGATCTGGGCCACCGTTTTGGGCGGCACCGAAAGAGGTTTCCCCGAGAGCTTGTAGTGCTGGCTTAACGCCGAAGCTCGGGGCGACCACGTGTCCAGGCCCTCGTAGCCCACGTTCGGCGTCTCGCTGTCCACGAACACCCTGAGCGCGAA